CAAAGGCCCTTGGGACTTGGCCCCTGTAGGGTGCCCCTGCACCTCCCTACCTGCTGCCATCTTCCCGGGGACAGTGAACTCCAGCATGGGCACTCTCCTGCTGATAATGTCCCGCTTGCACTTCTCAGGATCTCCACCTTGCAGGATCATGTCCACAATCTCGCTGACCCAGGTGGTACCTGGGGAAAGAAACCCATCAAGGGGAGCAGCCAGGGCAGCATTGGGTGTCTTAGCACTGACAGTCTCTCAGACCTCGACCAGATGCCATGGGGGAAAAGGGAAATCCTGACACAACTCTGTCCTGACAGCCCCTAAATGTGCTGCATGCCTCCAGGCAGTGGGTCTCAGCTGAACAACACACTTGCCCACCCAGTATCAGCACATCTATTTGCCTTGGGGATGCTCACCAGACTTGGGGAAGGTGACCACCACGATGTCCTCGGGGCGGCTCTGGAAGGTGTCAATTCGTTCCCAGTTGTGGGCGAAGGCATTGACCATGGGGATGCCGTGCACTGTGAGCCAGGGCTGACGCAGATAGGGGTCTGGACTGGCCATCCTACTGGGGACAGAGACACGTTGCAGGGCTGGCTGATGAGGGGAAGGCCTCCACCCTCACCCTCTCAGGGCAGCCACCAGCCAGGGCAGCCCGGTCACCTGGCGTTGTGCCTGCTCAGGAAGCGGTAATGATAGCACCAGAGCACAGACCAGAGGTCACCGCAGCCATCGCTGCACCCACCGCTGGGAACAGGGGTCCCAACTGCGGGGACAGGAGCACACCCAGAGCCCTGACAAGGGCAGGGGTGCCCACAGTATGCTGGCATCACCCAGACCTAGGGTATTAGACTAGAATAGCACCTCTTTCCTTTCCTCAGCACCCCAGGGGAGCAGGCAACTGGGTCCCTAGCACTTGCAGGGAGAGTTATTGCAGGAGACCACAGGTCAGGGTACGGTTTAAGGGTGCTGATTGCACACAAACACAAAATGCCCCAAACCCACCACCCTGGACCCTGCAGCACGCAGCTCTGACTGAGCATGGGCAGAGCACGCAGAGGGCACCCTGGGACACCCATCTCACCTAAGACCTGCTGGTCTGCGCTGGGAGAGTGACGCTGGGACGGTGACACCAGGAAGGCGACAGCAGAGAACGGGGAGACTCGAGGCCTCGCAGCGGTTGTTATGGGAAGGAGAAGGAAAGAGGCAGGGCGCAGAGGCCAGTAATGTTTGCCAGCCCAGCAGCTGCAGGGAGGGAGGAGCGAGTGCAGGGAGAAAACAGCAGCCACTGACCTGCAGGCAGGGCCACATCTCCAGCACCACCAGTCCTGCTCTGCCCCACAGGTCCCAGCAAACATCCCAATGTGTCAGGGTGGGGAGGACACCTCTCACTGCCCACACCCACACAACACGTTCCCCATACACAGCTTTGCCAAAACTCTCTGTGATCCCATGAGCTGCTGCTGGCAATCCCCCCACCACAGTGGCTCAGGGGTAACACCTGCTTGTCCCCAACCCAAGAAGAGGACAGCAGCCCCAGAGGGACTGCGGGGTTAGGATCAGCAGAGACTCAGGACAGTGAGCACCCCATGGCAGAGTCAGGGAGCACATTTTATTTCTCTCCAGCAGTGCCAGGGGAGAGGAAGGAACGGCAGCAGTGCACAGGGCAGATCTGGGGGGGGGTCTGGCGGTGTCTCCTCAGATCTCAGTGCGGAAGCACAGGTCGGTGTCTGACATCTTCTGCGCGTAGTCCTGGTCAAAGCGCTCGTTCTGGGCCACGGTGAAATGGTTCTTCCAGTCTCCCGTGATGCCTGTGGCCGGGCGAGATGGGGCTCAGCAGGGGCCGGGGGGACAGTGCGCCAGAGGCCCCCCAGAGCTGCTCACCTTTGCGCATGAAGGGGGACACACTGTGGTCCATGATATCAGAGGGTGCCTGCCTGTAGTTGGTGGCAGGGTTGTCCCGCATGGACTCGAAGGAAGTGTGTCGGGTGATGGTGTCCAGCGCTGCCTGCGACAGCTTCTGCCCCAGGAAATGGGCCACCTTGGCAATCTCCCGGCGGAGGTCCTGTGCGACACAGGCCAACACTCACCCCTCCTGCCACCCCCAGACCCCACAGCACCATCCACCCCGCCCCATCACCTCCTTCAAGTCCTCGTAGAAGAGGTAGAGAATGGGGTGATCCTTCCTGCGCTCCCAGTAGCCCTTGACGTGATCATACCAGGAACCGTATGCCACTGCACGGGGAAAGCAGCCAGTGGGTGATGGTCCCCTGCAGGGTCCCCTGCACGCACCCAGGGGTGCCCTGTCTCACCTCTGCCAGCCATGAACTCCTCCAGGTACTGGGCCCATGTCCCGGGATGTGGGTGGAACTTGTTCATCAAATCAAAGTGGTAGTAGGAGACAGCCACGTCCTTGGCGTTGCGCCCCACATAGATCATCTGCAGAAAGCTTGGGACATGTGGGGACTTGCAAGGTCCCAAAGAGACAGGCAGCCCCCTTAGGGGGGGATCACTCCAAGTATGTTCATTCCAGCCTGTTACCTTGCAGCGGTTTTCCCAGAAGGATTTGGGCAAGATGTGAGCTGGGATGTGGGTCTTGATGATGCGAGGGGATGGCATGGTCTCCAGCTGCTCTACGCCTGTAAGGATTTCCCCCAGAAGCGATCCCACTGCGGTGCACTCCCATACAAAACCAAACCTGTCCCCATCCAGCACCCTCTGCCACCCCACTACCTGCTGGGAGCTTCCCAGGGGCAGCACACTCCATCATGGGCACCCGGTTCACAATGTCATCCTGCTTGCATTTTTCTGGGTCACCGCCTTTCAGGACCATGTCCACGATCTCACTGACCCAGGTGGTGCCTGGTGGGGAAAGATTGGGTGTCCAGCTGATAGCATTCCCACTGGAGCCCCATCTCAGGCACCAGAGTGTCACCATCTACCAGTGTGGCCTTTTGGCATGCCCCCAGTCCCAGCCCAGGCATCCGCAGAATGGTACCTCCTTTCCTGAGCATGGCCTCTCTCTGGTGCCTGGGAATGCTCACCAGATTTGGGGAAGGTGACCACCACGATGTCATCAGGGCGGCTCTGGAAGGTGTCAATCCGTTCCCAGTTGTGGGCAAAGGCGCAGACCATGGGGATGCCGTGCACGGTGCGCCAGGGCTGCCGCAGGTAGGTGTCCGAATCAGCCATCCTGCTGGGGACAGGGACATGTGGCAGGGCTGGCTGGAGGAGCATCACAGGGCCACCTCCTTCCCTGGGGGCCCCAAAAAATCCCTGCTGAAACCAGCCATCCTGGCCATAGGAAGAAAACCATGCCCTGCTTGCAGGCATCGCAGGAGGCGGCACCTGTTTTCTGCGGGGATTTTGGTGCCCAGGTGGCAGTGCAGGGAGAGTGCAAGGGCATGACCAGCTCTGGGGGGCGCAGGTCAGACAGGCAGTGCGCAGCTGCCCATACCAAGCTGGCAGCGCTGTTCCTGGGTGTAAAAACTCTCAGGGGCATTCCTGGCTGGAGTTGCAGGCTGCTTTCCCTTTGGTTTTTCCTCCCCATCTCTCCGTTGTATGGCAGCACGGGAGGAAGCCTTGCTTTCAGGGGGCTTTGAGGGCGGGCTCGACAGAGACAGGAACGAGGAGCAGGGCTCGCAGGACTCTCCCTAGGAAGCCTTGCCACCCACCACCCAGAAACGCTGGATATGCCAGCTGCAAAACCCCCACGTTGTGATTTTTGGAGAGAGGCTTGGTGTCTTGCTTCCACTTCCCGGGGGCTTGCGGGGACACGGAACCCCCTTACCCACCCCCGAAGGCCCCCCCTTATGAGGCCAGGGCACCCCGAAACCACGGTGGCCAAAAGCCCCCCGCTTACTTGCCTCTTTTCCGGGTGTTCTGGCAGGGAGGAGGCAAAACTTTGCCCGCCGCTCACTGGGCGGGATTTGTTAATTTCCTTCCCCTGCATGGAAGATGGAGGCGCAGGGAGGCGGGGGACACCGCTGGGACAGGAGCCTGGAGCGACCTGGTCCCGGTGCTGCGGTGGGAGGAGTGCGGGGAAGGGGCGAGCGGGGATGAGGACGGTCCCCAGATGCCTGTGATGAGCTGTCCGTGCTCAGCGCCCGTCGGGACGTGCACGGACAGCGGAAGTCACAGCTTCCCCCTCCACCCGCAGTGGTAAACACAGGGAAGAAATCCCAACCCACATCCTGGGAGATTGAACATCACCCTGTCCTGGTCCAAGAGTCACCTGCGTGGACGTCCCCAGCTCCTCACACCGACGTGGGGCTTGCGAGCGGGATGTGGGGTTCAGGCTTTGGTTGTACCCCTACTCCACTCAAACACGGGTCCAAAGTTTGCAGGTTCGCAAAGCACAAGTGCTCTTGGGAAAAGTGTTTAAAGGTGCTGATGGTGGTGAAATGCTCTTCCTTACCTTAGTCGGGAGGGAGTGAGAAGGGCAGGACGGCTGGCAGCTGGGCAGGGCCAGCAGATCAGCTGTTGGCAGCCTTGAGAAAAACGTCCCTGATTTGTCTCCAGGGCCAAGTTCCCGGTGAGAGGAGGCATGCCATGCCAGGTGTTCAGGTGTTTTGCTGTCCATATGCCAGCAAAATTGGCTGCAGTTTCCCTTCACCTTTGTTCCACAGACCATAAGCTGCCAAGCTGCAGCTGGGCCAAGGAGAGGCTCACCACCACCCGCTCTGTCAAGAAACTTGCCACAACCCAGAGGCATGAAAGCTTCTGTGCACGCAAGGGCTGCAGCAGCACTGGATTTGCTGGTGCTCTGGGGATTTTCCACTCGTCATGGATCTTGTTCCCTCCAGATACCTTGTTAGGCTGGGGCAGCCCAAGTTGACAGGGGCTAGTGGTGGTTTCTGGGAGGGTGCCCCAGAAACCCCTGGTGGTGCCTGACCATCACTATGTGCCCACCCTCTCTCCTGATGACTATGAAGGCGTTCCTGGACACTGCCTAGATTCAGGGGGGTTCAGGCCCCACCCTCATTTTCCATGTAGGCAATGACTCAACCTCTATTTATCACAATTTATTGCAGGGGGAAAAGTGAATTAGTGAAAGAAACTCCATCTGGATCCACCCTCCCCACTGGGAGAGCAAGGAGAAGCGCAATTCTCCTGGGAAGGGAGATGAGCACCTCAAACCTCCATCTGGAAGTGGAGGTCAGAGCCTGCCATGTGCTCCTGGTAGTGCTGGTCAAAGCGCTCATTCTGGGCCACAGTGAAATGGTTCTTCCAGTCTCCAGTGATACCTGGGGGCAAGAAAATAACGGGGGTAAATCCTCACACACATTAAATATTTGTAGCCACAGAGGGGGGCTGAAATACAATCCAGGGACATCTCTCCCAAATCCTCCACCACCTTTCCGGAGGAAGGGGGAGAGGCTGTGATCCATGAACGTGAAGGCCATGGTCTCATAGTTGGCAGCAGGGTTCTTCTTCATCTCCTGGAAGGAGGTGTGGTGCAGGATCCTCTCCACTGTTTCCTCCGACAACTCCTTGCCCAGGAACTGCAAGATCTTCTGCACCTCCTGCCGTGGGTCCTGCAGGGTGATTGACATGAGGAGGCTGCCAAAAAAGCTGGGGGGCAACCAGGTCTCCTTCTTCTCCATCCCACCCTCACCTTCTTCATGTCCTCATAGAAGAGGTAGAGTATCTTCTTCTCCTGCTTCTTCTCCCACCATCCACGCACATGGTCGTACCAGGACCCGTAGGCCACTGTGGGATTTAGTCGTGGGATTTGGTCAAGGGGTTAGCGAAAAAGGAGGGCAGCGGGGGATGTCCTTCCCACCAGCATTTCAGGGTGGGCATTCTGTGGCTCAGCCCACACCTTTTCCAGCCATGAAGTTCTCCAAGAACTCAGCCATCGTGCCAGGGTCAGGGTGTACCTTGGCCATCAGGTGGAAGTAGTAGTATGAGATGACAACATCCTTGGGGTTACGGGCCATGTAGATAATCTGGAGAGAGCCAAGGATGTGTTTGAGAGGTACAAAGTGGTGCCTCCTCCCTACCAACCCAGATGGGGAGAGAGACAGGGGGAAACTCCCATGTTACCTTACAGTCCTTCTCCCAGAAGGAGGTTGGGAGGAGCTGGACCGGGAGATGGGTCTTTACAAGCCGTGGGGATGGGGTGTTCTCCAGCTGCTCAACGCCTGTGGCACAGGGGACTTAGAGGTGTGAGCCCCAGCACCCTCACCCCCACACTGGCTGTGTTCCCTCTCCACCCAAACCAGGCAGCTGGACTGGGGAAGCTCACCACTCGGACCCTTGAAGACCTTCATTTCCAGGAAGGGCACACGGTTGTAGATGGCATCCCGTCGGCACTTCTCCGCGTTGCCATTGTGGTAGATCATGTCCATGATCTCACTCAGCCACGTCGTGCCTGCAGCACAGGGACAGCATTGCAAAGGCTGGTGTCACACCATCCCCCCTGCACCCTTCCCCAGGACCACTCACCTGATTTCGGGTAGGTGGAGATGAGCAAGTCATCTGGACGGGCTTGGAAAGCCTTCACCTGTGGCCAGCCCTCAATGAAGCTCTTGAAGAGGGGAATGCCATGGAGGCTTCCCAGCCCCTGCCTGATTGCATCCTCCTGCTCCATGGCTGACAGTGGGTCCAGACAGAACTGGCTGTCGTCCCTGCTGGCAGCCTCCACAACCTTGGGATCAGCTGGCTCCTTTGCCAGGACTGTGCCAGGGCAGTATTGGTTCTTGTGGCAGGACTGTGCCCGGGGCAGTGCCCCATCAGGCAAAGTCCAGCCCAGATCACACGTGGCAGAGGTACTGCCAGTGCCACAGGAACATGCCCCGATCCTCGGTAGGCTACTGCCCTAACATGGATGCTTGCCATGCACTAAGCCCAAGCCATGAGGAGTCAAGAATGGAGCCCAGCATCACCTCTTCTCCCACCTGTCTGCACTTCTCCCCTACATCTACAGCCCCTTTAATGAGTGCCATGGGGTTGGAGCTCCAGGGACAGCTCTGCTACCCAGCCGTACCTCAGGATTCCACGTGCTCTGGTGCCCAGGAGCCCTGGCACCTCCACCCTCCCACCACACCCAAGCTGTAAAGGTTAACAAGAGCTGGCTCAGCTACTGAGCACACAGGACATGAAGGAGGTTCCAAGTGCCAGCAGCTGGGGCATGGGACAATTTTGGAGTGGGCTCTGCCTCCCTCCCGCCACGGCTTCATGAGCACTGTGTTGTCCTGCGGTGTCCCTGCATGTCCTGGGGACCAGACTGGCCAAGACTGGCTGAGGGTGCTGCAAACAGGGGGCACTTCCCTCTCTGCCTTCCTGGGTGCTCCTTCAAAGTCTCTTGTAGGAATGGGCTGAATAAGCTGATCTGCTCCACCCTGGATGATCTGATCCAGCAGGCTGTGCAGTACAGGAACCCACCATGATGGAGCAGGTGCTGCTCTTGCTCCAGGAGGAGATCAAGGAGAAGTAGAAGACAAGTGGTGCCTGGCCCAGGCCAGGTCAGTGGGGTCTCTGGGAAAGGAGGCACCAGTGCAGGATATAGCATCTGGACCATTTGCAGAAATACAATCTCACAACTCTGACTTTCTCTGTCAATTAGGGAGTTGGGAGACAGTAAACAGATCTGTTACCCTGACAAAAAATACATGTAACATTTTCATCTGATGATGAGGAAATAACATGACATTTACTTAAAACTGAAATACAGATGATGGACAAGGTCCATCAAAGTCATCAAGGTCAGCAAACTGCTACCAAAACAGCGCCATATACGGCAACCAAGATATCAAAGTTCCAGGAAAAGTCCAGCAGATTTACATGGGATGGAAACATACAGGGCGATCCTCATGACAGATAATCAGGAGAAGATGATTCTTTATCTCTTTCAACTCCCCCTGGATCTACTAGACTTCAGGGTGGAAAGGAAAATCACAAATAATTATCGAATTTGATCCAATTCAGGTGGCTGATTTGCAAGAGAATTTTGGCCGTAAGCCAGGCGGCACTGAAATCCAGCAATTGGGATCCTATCAGTGCATACACAATAATGGCCCATACATTCAGATTCCAGTTGATTCTCATCAACAATAAATTGCTAGCACTCAACTGAAACATTCTTTGGCTCCTGGTTGTGTTCAAGCCAGTTATGGGTCCAGTATGTGACAGCTGCTATCATATGGGAAGGTGAAGACAGTGCTCCCTTCTCCTTAAGGGTGGGATGCCACAGTGGGCTCCAATGCCCCCACACCTCCAGCAGTGAGATCCCACGGCACAGCCAGAGACCCATCATGGCTGAAGCCAAGTGCCCAGCACCCCTCCTCAGGTGCTCCAGCTTTACTGGTGCAGTTACAAGGGAAAGCACTTTGGGGTTTGGCCCCGTGACAGCCCCTCTGCATGGCCTAGCAGTGCCCAGACTGCTCCTGGCACACTGGCAGAAAAGCTGTGCACCCCAGCTCCTGGCTCTCTGGATTTTCCAGAAACTGCCAGGGTAGGACCCTGCTCCCCACTGCATCCTGCAGAGCTGGATAGGGTCCCAACTCCTGCCACCTCCCAGGATATCACACAGGTCCCCTGGCCCCAAGCAGCACCATCTAGGGACAACCACCCTGCTGTGCCAGGCACACGACTACATCCTGCCCCACTGCCTGTTTATCTAATCACACACAGACCCCAATGCCCCATGGCCGGATGCACACCCCTGTTTGCCCCATGTACTCTGATAAGGTCCCATCCCAGAGCCATGTCTCCCCTGCTGGGGACCCCCTGCTTCCCCCACAGTGCCCAGCTGGGGTAACCACAACCCAGGGTCCCTCTTTAGTGTCCATTCACAGCCACGTGCACTCCCCATTCACTCCCCACTTGCTGTTGTGTGCACACAGAGTGGTGCAGGAATGCATTGCAGGAAAACAGCGCAGGAACTTGGCACTATCCCAGCTCCAGGAGGATTTATGGGGATGGCTATTAGCTCTCCCATGATGGTGTTGGGGGATAAATGCATTAAAACCTTGCTCTTAGCTAGCTCGTTGCATTTTATTCCTGAACTGTTTCTTATCCATCCCACTGGGGCTTTGTAACCATCTTACATCCCTCCCTTGTCTCTCATCCCCCAAAAAATATCTGTGGGTGGTAGGCAGGAATGTCATCTGTAGCTCAGCGGGATGCTTTGATACCCAGCTCTCGATCCATTGCCTGGAGGAAATGTTCGTTAAGAAAAAGCATCTGCCCATGGGGCAGGAGACGGTCCAGGAGGCCATCAGCGGCATCAGGACGGAGCAGGACATCAGCACCGGGGCCAAGGAGGCGCAGGGAGAGGAGAAGGCGGGGAGCCAGGCGCCGCAGGGTGATCTCAGCCAATGATAGATTCTCTTGGGGTTCACAAACCAAGGCGAAGGCGAGGGCCAGCACTGATAACCAGACTACTGTCACCCGCTCAGGGAATGGGTCTCCAGGGGGCATCTGGAAAAGACCCCCTGGAGCATCCTGGAGTGACAGCGGCTCATCAGGTAGCTGTGGAAGTTGCGGGGAGGACGGGCGCCCCAAGGATGACTGCAGCAGTTGACACTGGGAGGCCACTTGCCTGGAAGAGAAAAGGGGGACCCTCGTGTTAAGGCTCCCCACCTCATCCAGGGACAATGACCCCTCTGTTGGGGGAACAGTGTCCTGGGGTCCTGCCAAGCCCAGCATCCCCAGAAAGGGTGGATCCCATGAATGCGGGGGCATGGTCCTGGGGTTCTTGCCAAGCCCTGTCTCCCCAAAATGGGCTCCCCTTAGGAATGGAAGGTGTCCCACAGTCAAGGGGTGTCCCAGCCCTGGGGGCCAGGCAAAGCTCAAGAGTCCTCCCCTCAAACAAAGGGTGTACCACGGCTCTGGAGATCCCAGGGACAGGGAGGAGGTGTCACAAGTCCAGAGGGCTCAAGAGATGGCACAAGGTGTCCCACCGAGCCCAGCATCCGCGGGAAGGGGATGTCCCGGCTGTACCTGGCCACGACCAGCAGCTGCTCCTTGCGGCGGAGGCGCTGCCGGGGGCCCGCGGGGGCGGTCCCGGGGGGGGTCCCGAAGGTG